CCTGGGAGCAGCCTGTGCCCTTCCCCAGAGGCCCCGAGCCAAGTCCCCTCGACCCCACCGGCAAGGTCCCACCCTGGTTTTTCCGTGGACCCCGGCGGCCATGGCCTCACCAGCTGCCTCTCCATGTCCTCGTCCCGCGGGGAGCTGACGAAGATGGTGTTCTGCATGAGGCCCACGAAGCACCAGAAGGTGTCCGACTCGTCCAGGACCTCAGCCAGGAGGGGCGCCACCAGGTCCGACATGCCCTGCGAGTAGCCGATGGCCGGGTTGTACACCGCGTAGTTCAACAGGATCCTCCTGGCAACGTGGCCCAGAGGCAGGGCGGTCAGGAGGTGCCCACGACACACGCACCCACGCAGTCCTAACAGCGCGTGTCGTCCGGGCCCGCAGAACCCAGGCTGGGTACCTCATGCTCTCCACGTTGGGATTGCCTTCACCGCGGAAGAACTGGCTGCTGCGATCTGTCCGCACCACGTCCTTGTCCACCGTGAACTGCACGTTTCGCCAGAACGCCCGGTGCTCCTCGGGGGTCATGGAGAGCCTGGCACAGAGAGGGCCCGGGTCAGCGAGGGGCGTCTGCAGCATGAACTCGGCCTTGGGGAGGAGAGCTGGCCGCAGCCCCGGGGTTAACCAGGCCACTCGGACCTCAGCCGCCCTGCGGCCACCCCAGCGTCCAGGTAAGTCTGTTGACAAGAATCCTGCCCAGCCGGCGTGGCTCAGTGTTGAGCATCGACCTAGGAACCTGGAGGTCAGGGTTCCATTCCCTGTCCGGGCACAGGCCCAGGTTGTGGGCCCCATCCCCAGTGTGGGGCGTGCAGGAGGCAGCTGATCCATGATTCTCTCTCATTATGCATGTTTCCCTCTCTCCCTTCCTCTCTGAAATCAATAAAAAATTAAATTAATTAAAAAAAAGAATTCTGAAACTCTGACATGTGAGCTGAAGGGGCCTGGGGTCATGAGGCACTCGGGGTCCGGGAGAGAGCACCCCACCCGCGCAGACTGCAGCCCACAGGCCTCTGCAGCCCCCCCGCCC